GGGATGTGCTGTCTGGATCTTACTTCAAGGGGTTTTTTTGGTAGCCCGGCAAGCTGTTCTAAGCTCCAGCCTGCAACCTGGAACACTTCAGCCTGAATCCGAACAACTCAGGAAAATCCTGAATCACCATTTCCCGGATCTCGAAACCTGAACCCTAAACCCTAACCCCCAAATCAGGCCGTTGTCCCAACCCTTGCCTGGTGCGACGGTAACAAACAAACAAAGCTTAAGAGCATTGGCCACGTGATGTTTTCTGTGCGTGGAAAACTGAAAAGGCTGCAGAGGGTGTCACAATCACAATCGTCTTCGTCTTGCATCCACTGTCTGAATCACTTTCGGGCCCAGAAACGACACCGGACAGATACCTCTTGGCCCCAGGCAATATGTGGCCGAATGATATACCTTGGAACCGTTGAACTGTTTTTGGAGGCACCGGTCGAGTCCTAGCGAATATAGCCTGTGAACTGTAAACCAAACACACGACACAAGACATAATGCGCAAGACTGAGAATCTGGGGAGCGGTCGTGAAACTGGGCTCCTCCTTCGGGTGCAAGGTAAAGCCTTCGCTCTGTCTCGTTCTCATGTGGCGAGGCTTCTGTTCGATTGCGGGCTCCGAGAGCGTCCGATGTCTAGATTTTGGCAAACCTGCAGTAGGCTGAGCCCCTCCGACCAGGGCAGGTAGCTAGCTGGAATCCCCAGACACCCCACGTCAGGATCAGCAAACAGCTTTGGGCGCTGCCGTAAGTCCTGTAGAGCAGCATGTTCGACCTGGTATGGGGCTATGTCCCATCTCAGTGTCTCATCTCAGTGTCTGTGCGGAAGCTAAAGCTCCGCTGTCCACCAGAATCCGCTTTTTCATTGGCATCCGGTGCAGTGCCTCTTTCGCCACTTCATGGTGCGTTTCCACCGGCCCGGGTCGTCAGGCAGACCAGAGAGACATGAGTGCAGGCACAAGATGCCAGAGCGAACAAGTCACAGGATTTTGCGTAGTAGTGGCCTTTCTAGCTGCAGAACCGATACTTTCAATACCAACAGAATAATGAATAGAGCACAAACACAGGCAGTGGCAGATGCGCACACACACACACACACATGCGCGTGCACACACACACACATACAAACAGACAGACACACCCACCTTTCCAGCCGCAGAGCCCAGAATTGCAAGGATACGCATACCAAAAATCAACTCTTCCATACCACAAAACAGCTGAAAAGCAAAGACTCGGAACTTCTGAAGCGCAGCTACTACTACTGCAGGTGACGACGGCGACGACGACGACGACTACTACTACTACTACTACTACGACTACGACTACTACTACTACTACTACTACTACTGCAATGCTCTCCAATGTTGAAAACTAAAGTGCGAACCACGCTAAAATCGGGCTCTTACAATGAACAAACACCAAAAACAACACTAACAAGCGTTGAGCAACACAAGCAATATAGAAAAAGGATAGCGGCATGAACCAGACAAATAATGATCAAAAAGCGGGCAGTCATGAGGACTCTCTAGAACTTGGTATTGCATGGCTGGTCCCAAGTCCACACGCTTTGCCATGCAGCCATCTGATGATGTCTTGCCACTCATGCACCCGTGCAGCTACAGCTTCGCCATTAAAAGCCTCGCGGCGGAAGGAACAGGAGCCTTTGACGCGCCACAGGTTGCTCGACCAGCGACCATCCACTCCATGTGAGGTTTTGTTTTGGTTAAGGGGTCCCTCCTATGACTATGATACTCAGGTCTATGATAGAATCGCCTATTTACTGCAAATCCCACATCTACTTCCGACATGAGCTGCGGGAACGTCATGCTCCTGACTACGGCCGAAGAGCCCTGGCTGGGCCTTCAATTCTCTTTAGAACCAGGTTGTCGATTGCCGAACTGACCGAACCTTATTCTCTCCTTCCGCAATAGGAATCTATCTGCATCTTCTCCATTTGGGGAATCTAGAAAGGACAACCCTCGCTGGCTCAGACGTTCTCTCCGCCGATGCGGCCCACGCTGAACCACAAATTCGGGTTCTCGTGGAACTCGAGAGAGTAGACCTGCTTGGCGAAGTCGTAGCACTCCTGACAAGGCCGCGTCGTGGCGCTTCGCGCATCGATCCGAGAACTGACCAGAGCTTCTCAGCTGAAGGCGTCAGCAAGTGGGCACCCGCCAAAGACTCTTGAAATCCAAAGCCGCTCCGAAACCCTTTCACAGTGTCAAGCACAACCGGATTAGCGGCAAGCGTCCAGCAATGAAGAAGATTTGTGCACCCGGAAGGGGGGTTTTGTGCACAAATCACAACGGATTCGCGCTCTGAGGCAGCAGATTTGCACATGAACGGTTTGCGCACCGGCCGGGGACTTGAGCCCTGAAAGTACCGTGCTAGGGCCGCATCAGGTTCGCACATGCGAAACTATTCGTGCACGACCAAGGAATAGCACGCGGAGGTGCGGATTAGAGGAGATCTGACGAGTGGGTCCGGAAACCCTAAACCGCGGAAGGACGGTTGCAGTAGTGTTAGAGTGGGGGCAGTATGGACGTGATGGCTGCGAAAGCCGCACGGCTCAAGAACATGAAACCCTTTACCCTGAAAGGGGTGTCAGGAAGGTCAAGAACATGAGAGGAGGGCTCCATGTCCAGACAGCCCCGGCTTAGAGAGGGCCCGGCTGACCCGGGTGAGAACAACTAAACCCCCAAAACAGGTGCGCAGTAGACACCCGAGATTGAGAGGAGACAATACGAAAGTAGAAGAGGAGGTCGAAACCCCAAAAACAGACTGCGATGAAAACAACCTACGCCCGGGCTGCAAAGGAGCGGCAAAGCCATAAAAAAAGAGTTAGGAGATGATGATGCTGCATGGGTAGTCTAATCGGACAGTGATGTTAGAATCGCAGGTGCTCGAATCGCGAGTGATTGAACCGGCACCGTCGCGACTTGAACTGAACCCTTACTTACACCCCAAACACTGTAAACTAAAAACCCTTAGCCCTTAAAGCTCGCATCGCAAACCAGAGTCCTCGTGCGTCGGCGGCGGAGGCACCGCTCCGTCTGCACGCTCTTTGATCAGCCGAACCTTCCAAGGAACTCGGGCTGCAATTTGGCACCAACCGAAAATCTAAATCCCTGCTTGTGTTTGGTCCCTTGATGTCCAAGCACTACGAGCATCTATTCATATTCGAATCTTCGGGGCGTTGGATCCACCTTAGACTTAGACACCTGGACCCTGAGCCTGACACGTGTCGGCGACTTCGAACTGCATTCAAGTTCGCGTGAAGTCTCAGTCCCCGCAAATGACAACATGTTGTGGGCTGGATTGCCTAGTCACCTAGTCTCGCCAAAGGTCGCATTCTGCTTGAGGTTGCTATTGGTGGCTTTTAGATGCTGTTAACCGCTGCTTTTCAACTCTGTTGAATGAATGCCCAATCTCGGCTAAAGTTAAACCCGACGAAGATGGGAGGAAACCAAATTGAATGTATGATAGCCCTTCCTACGAAACAGCTTTTCAAGTACCCCCACAACCCTGAGAGCCCTCTCTCTCTCCCGCTCTCTGCGTCGCGAACCTTGAAAGCCCTTTTTTTCACAAGGGACTCGATTGCTGCCCTTACTGCCCAGCTTGACCCACAAGACAGTACTCATGACTGCGATGCGAGACTGGCCACTTCGCGGCTCCATCCAACCTTGAAAGCCCTACACCTTGAGATCTTTTCGCCCGAAACAACCCTGAAGCCCCCTCAAACGCGATCCTGCTTCACGAGGTGCTCCAGGACGGGGAAATCTCGCATCACTTGGCGCGTAGTCCGCGCCAAGCGGCTATCCCCCCCTGCAAGCTCCGGTGAGATGAGAACTTATCATTTTAGAGTTTCGGCGCTCACACTCGGACACCTTTCAGGGGTTTAGGGGTTTCGACTCACACACTCGCGCAAGGCAGGCATGACAGGTTCGGTCTGAGCTTAGGGGTTGAGGGTTGGGGGTTTAGGGGGTTTGGGATTTAGGGTTTCAGCACTCCCAACTGGGACAACCGGGCGAGGTTAGCGGGTACGTCGAAGCACTTTGGCTAGAGCACTGCAGCAGGCTGCAGGCAAATTCATCTGCCACCAAGTTCCATCACCACCACAGGCCTACTCAACATTGCAAATGCTACGAACGAGTAGAACAACCACAAAAACTGTACTCTTAAAAAAGCAGAATGCCGACTTCGCAGCGCCAAGTCTTCCACCAGTCCTTGCTCTGTATCACTATCGAGTTCGCACTGTCCTTGGATGTCCTTGGCTCCTTGGCTCTACCTGTCTACTGCGTACCAAAAAAATTTGTCTCTTTGTTGAGGGCCCTCTTCACTGCACGACGCCTTTTCGTCAAAATGCACTGCAGGAACAGCACAGTGGTTGCACTGAACACCTGCTAATGCCATTATGAGCCGCGATCAATATCATTTGTAGTAATTATTTTGGAATAACAGGAAAAACAGTCACCACTATCCGGCTGAGCACCGTTGCTGCTACTACTTCTTTTTCGGCTGCTATACAACAACAACACCACTACTACTACTACTACTACTACTACTACTACTACTACGCAATGGTTCTGCCTGTCTGCGTCGGGCCCTGACACAAGTTTTCAAGCGAAACAGTCAGTTGAGCATAGCCCATGTTTGTGCGTGGTAAGTTCAGCCAGCTCCGCGGTCGTGGACCAGCCCATTTCAGCATTAGTTGACTCAATGGCATGTGCGTCGTACTCGCTCCACGTGCATGGGTGGTAGCCATTCCAGACTCTTCCGTAAGCCTTGCGCTTGAAAAGCGTTGACTCTTTGCTACATGGCTTATGTCACTCGTAGTGTTTCTAGCCGACATGACAACTACTACCAACAATAATACTGCTACTTGTTGCATCTTGTTGCTACAACGACTACGGCACTAACACTGCCACCCCAACTGACCCTTCCAAGCAACACCCCAACACCTGAGTCCTAAAAACCCCACAGCCGCAGACAGCCGTCAGAGCAGCCTTTCAGCAGCTCCAGTGCAAGCGTCGTCGCCAGGGAAAGGTGCATCGCCCTGGTGCGGTCCTGCTAGGATTTGCATAGTGATTATGATGATTATGGGCCCTAACTGATATTCAGCTTAAGCCAAGTACAAGAATACGGAAACATTTGCCGATACCCGTAGTATGGAGACTTGCGATGCGTTCGACATCTTTGGGCAAGACCTCGCAGCCCAGAAAGAAACAAACAGAGAGACCAGAAACAAGGACGAAGAGAGGGAGTCAGACAGACAAAAACGAGATAGTTACAGACAGATAGACAAACGGACATACAGGCAGACAGAGATACAAATGGACATGCATGCACATTTGCAGATAAACAAGATGTTCATCTACCTCTTAAACCGCAGTCCAGCAGGCGCGAAGCCAAGCCCACGGCACGGAGGCTGCTGCCGTCGGGGCATGTTATCGAGGCTAGCGCCTTGGTGTTCTCAGTCTGTGTTGGCATCTTCTGCTCATCAACCCTTCATTTGCGCAAGTCTACAGGAAGTCATGTGAGAGTGTCTCTCCTTCTCTCGCTGCCGTTGCATCCAAAGGGTCTGTCGTCTCCTATGTCTCACCATGCTGTTTTTGCTGGCTTATATTTCTGCGATCGTGCCATGGGGTTCGTTTGTAATCGTTGGCCGTTAGGATTCTGCACAGCTCCATTGTTCGAGGCTGTGCTGCGTGGCTTTGTTGTGCGTGGTGCCATAAGCTGAATTAATTCCGTGGGCACAGATTTCGGCTAACCTCTGATATCGTCCGGCATGTAACTCGCGGTGGAATGGCATGAAAGTTCAGGGCTTATTAAATTGCAGGACTGCTCCCCGACGCCTAGAACCCCAGCCCAGATTTCAGCCGAGGTGCAAACAACAAGGCCCACAACCCAAAGGGTGAAAGATCAGCTTCAAAGACCAGTTCATCTTCACAAACCAGTATACACCAAAGACCAGCCCAAGCCCACGCAAGTCATGATGACCTAAGGCTAGGAGTCAATGATGCGTTGCACAAGAGACTCATGCAAGCCCTCGGAGTCGGAATTCATTAGATGACGTTTAAAGTCGAAGCCAAGATGAAAACCTCAGCCCGAGTGGCACTGTACTCCTCCGAGCGCCAGACGCCCTCCGCATGCAGTTGCTCCAGGATCGGGCAGGATCCCTGGGGCGTGTCGATGCGCTTGATGTCGGGAACCCGCTGCTTGTGCACAACCGCCAGCATTGCGTCCACCACATTGGTGGCCCACCTTTTGTAGTGCGCAGGTCTGCTGTTTCTTCTGCTGCGTACTTTAACCCAATCGACGTTAACGTCTGTTTTTAGGCAAGGGGTGAAGAATGCAGGGCATGTCGAAGCCTCAAGGCGCATCCTAGGTGAACCGAAGAGAGCGTCGCAGTGTTGTCCTTAACGCAAAACCTTTGTCCAGCCCTCCTGGCAAAGTTAAGCGCTCTGCGATAAAGCTTGTCTCAACAGCTCGGGAACGAGATTAGGTCAAGGACTGTCCAAGGAATGATAATGCACAAAGCCACAATCTATAAACCCTTTTCAGCACGGCGACCGGCACCAGTGCAACAACCCGACCTAAACGAGAAACTCTAAACCCCATACCCTGAACCCCATACCCTAAACCCCACACCCTAAACTCCATAACCTAAACCCCATAACCTAAACCTAAACCTTTGACCCTAAACCCTATACCCTACACCCTAAACCCTAAAACGACAGAACGAGGCACGAGCCCATCTCGGCTTTCGTCCAAAGCCGAAGGCACACCAGACGAGAGGGCTGTAGAAAGTAGATGACGGGCTCCTTGAGATGCGAGGTGTATCATATTCATTAAATTATGTTATATCACATGTTTTGTACTATATCGTATATGTTATATACTATATACTGTGACATATACTGTATAACATACGTGAACACCGCCTTCTTGCTCCAGTATTGCCTACTGTTCTTCTGATGTTCTTGTCTGATGTTGTTGTCTGGACTGGGTTGATAGAGACTCCAAAAACAAAAAGCTAGTAACATGGACTAAATGCGGCTAAATCCTCTACTCAATCAGCGCAAGACTTCACATCAACAGCTGTGAAATTGATACGCGTATGTTTTTCGCAAGACTTCCCTTGCGTAGTGGGGGGACTCATGCAAAGGTTTGGAGGGAAACGATGATGTGCAGTCAAGCAGGGAGCTCTGCAGACGGATGGGCTGGCTACCGAAAGACAAACCCGCGGACCTCGTAAACCACCTGTCGGTAACAGAGATGCCAGGCTCCCAGTATAAAAGCCTATCAACCACCTCAAACCAGAAACTCGATCATGCTTGGACGATAAGGCCTCAACCCGCAAGACTTGAACTTCTGCATCCCTTGACCCTTTAGCCCACTCCCGAAACCCCCAGAGTGCAAAGGAACGCCAACCTAAATTCCCCAAAGTCACCGGCATCCGGCACATCTGTCGGCATCGCGGATCGGCAGCTAGCGTCATCGAAACCTCAGGCCCAAACCGAGGGCGCACGCACGCACACACGCACAAACAAAAAAACGTGCGCACGCGCGCGCGCACACACACACACACACAGCTGAATTAGACTCGGGGCGGGTGCCTTGTAGTTGTGCTGTGGCACTCTGGGGCCCTCCTCATCCATGTGAAAGCTGCTTGCTCCTGTGCAGGGATGGTCTGCCCGTTCCGAAAAGTGAGCGCCCCGGCTAAGCAACCTCATGCTTTCAGACGGCGACCCAACAGCCAGCCTATCAAAGAAGCGCCGACGAATGTCCCATGCAACCCGAACTCTGCACCACCCAGAGCCGTGCTACCCGACGAAGAGTGTGGGCTAAGTCGAGCACATACGCCACCAGACCACCCATCCCGCAAGACTTCCATCCAAAAGGATTGGGCTGCGACAAAGAAACCCCACAACGAGTCAACGAGTCATCAACATGACAGCCTTCGGTTCGGCTACAGCGCGGTGCGAAATCCAAGAACAAGTCCTGTTTGCTAATTCCCCACCTAAGAGAGCGCGTTTGCACCTTAGTGTATTGAGCACTTGATTTATCTTGGTTAAGGTAGGCATCATGGAGACACCCAACTGAAGCCCACGACGAACCACAAGTGACATCTAACATCATCTAACAGGCTGGCCGTCGGTTCGCGAAGGCACAATCAACCCTGAACCTCACACCTTTTTGCAAGCTTCAACACCAAAAGCGAATGACTGGTTACAGGTCAGACGTCCCCCGCCACCCCAGATTCATCCCCGAACTCTGAGGACCCATGGCCAGGCAAACCTTGAGGGGCGCATGGCTGCGCTAGCGGCGGATCAGGGACCTCTTTCGTGGGCATGTGATAAGAAGAAGGTTGAGGGGTTTGGGCTGAGGGGTTTCAGGCTGCCTGGTGTTTGGCTTGAAGTTGAAGCACGCAGGACAAGCCCCCAAGCCGAGGACCCTAATCGCCACAGTACACAGGCACCCCAAAACTGGGTGGGCTTCAAGGATGGAGGCGCAAAGTTCAGCAGGGCTCCGCGGGCTCTAGACAAGTGACAACTATGAGGTTCAAGCCTGGGGCCTTGCGCCCAGGGGCTGCATCACCTTATCGGGATCATTTGTGGTCGAGCCAACGATTTCAGATGCCGCTCAATGTGCAGCTGTGAAGTAGTAGTGCTGCGGAATTCGCAGGCTTCCCCTCCTGAATCGACTCTTGCCCCCCGCCCCCCTGCGGTCAACAGAGGTCCCTTCATGTGAAGCCTTAGGACGAGAGTCGCGCTGTAGCGCAGAAACTCGGAGGGGCAGGGAGCGCTTGAGGGCCACACTCTACTCCCTCAGCTCAGCTTGAGCACTCGACGTCCCTAAACATATGCCGAAATTACAACCCAAGATGCACACCCTGAGCCTAAACCCCAAAGCTGAAAGGACCCAAGCCACTGTGAACCTAAACCCTGAATGCCTGCACCCCAAAAGCAACCCACTCTGAGCCAAGCACTGCACGGGGAGGTTCCACGGCAGGGCACTCAATCGAGGCCTGTGCGAGCAGCTGTGAGATTTTGCATAGATTTGGTATTGCATGTGCTGGTCGGGCCTTTTTTGAGGGCCCTCAAAGAACGAAGGCCCGGACCGGACCCGGGTTGCCGGTGTTTAGCAAGGCTGTATTGCTGCTACCTAGGGGCGGTTCCTACCCGATCCCTTAAAGGACCGCAACCCGGCTGTAGGTGGGCTCAGAGTTCAGAACACGGCATTGCGGTTGAAGTGATCTGTACGTGACTCAAAGGAAACCACCGATGCTCACAATCATCCTGCGGTCAGGCCCTGAACGCCCGGAATCTGAGTTCCCAAGTCAGTTTTGCAGCACAATCCTGCAGCATTGCCCATGACGGCTGCAAGGTGTCGTGCCATTACGGCAAACACCGCGACAGACAAATTCCCAGCCGAAGTGCACCGCAAAACTCATAGGGAACAGTCAACAGGGTGGCGGGCGTGGTACAATGGCACAACAAGTTGCAGCACTTGCAGAGTCAATGAAACAAGATAAGTTGAGACGAGAACGCTGACAAGGTAAGAAAATGTTCCTGTGGTTGGGGAACCCAGGCTTCCCGTTTAGCAGGCGCAAGATGCACCGACTTGAAGAACTGCTGTCAGACGACGATGTGAGGCACACCGGCGCCGCTCCCACAACGCCCCTCAACACCTACGATTCTTTGCCCGAACCTGGCCTCCAGCGCCAGCAGGCTTTCCTGCATCCCATGAGGTTGGCCCGGGCTTATGGCTTGGACTCGAGGTCAACGCTTAGCTTTTGGGTTTGCAGCTCAGGCTTGAGGGCTTCGGGAAGACATGTCATGCTCTGCAGCAGGAACTTGAGTTTGATCGGGGGTGACTGGTTCTTGCTCGCAGCTTCCGGAGCGACCGCCGACATCTCCAAACCCTCGAGCATCTCCTGATCCGGGTAGGCCACTATGCCGCCTTCGCCGAGGGCGACTTTGATGAGCGCCCCCCCTTCAAGGGGGCTGCCCTCGACGATCTCCAGAACTTTCACCTTTGCCCTCGGTGGTGCAAACTGAGGCCAACTTTAGTAGCTTGCATACCGGCATTTCGTCATGTGGCAAACCATCCCGAAGCACAGCACCCGGAACCTGGGGAACAGCATCCGCAATCGCAGCAAAGCATCCCACGTGGGAAGCCATAGGTGGCGAAGTCGTCGGTAAGCAGCTCGGCAAGCCCACCAACCTCTCAATTTGATGGCATGCGATCGTTTGACCGGCCTGTGCACGATACAACTTACTGTTGCAGCTGTTGAGTGGGGCGACGGCCTTGAAAGCTCCGTTCACAACGGAGCTAGAACTCGACGCCATGGCTCGCACTTTGTGGAGCTCAAAGCTTATCTGCTGTAATGTAACACTTCCTGCTGTATGGATTCCGACTTCTCAGCGGCACCACATGCTGCCTCCGCATGACCGACCCGTCTCGCTGCCGCCTAGGTTTGTCTGACATCCCTTCATGGTGGCGACTTACCCAGGTGAAGCATCCGACAAACACTACAGGAGTATGGCCTTTAGAGTCAGAGCTTCTGCGAAACTTCCATGATGTTTAGCTGCTTAGCTCTGGGGACTTCATGGGCCAAGCCATCTTCGACCCCCTCTCGTAAGGCCTCCTTACCTCGAGCCGATGCGAGCAAAAGAGGCACGAGGCTGGGACGCAGTGGAATACGGAAATGTAGCGGACAACCCCAAAGGCCCTAGACCTAAACTCTTTTAGTCCCGGAGCTCTTGGGGTAAACGTATGCTGCTTCCCAGCAACCGATGCGCACCATCTCCGAGGGAAGCAACCTTCCCCAAGATCCTCTGCTGAAGGCTCCGGGAACTCCCATGGTTCTAGTCTTGGATTCAATTTCCCCAAGACTCTCGCGACAGATTGGAAACCAAAAGCCACTCAGAGTTGCGATGCCCAGGCTGGGACTAACAAGGCCAGCCATCACGACAGTGTAAGGGTTATGGCTGGGGCGCAGAAGACTGAAGCTCGTCCCCAAGCACTGCAGCCCAAAAAAGCAAACCGGCCCGGCACCCTAGCCAGAAAACCCTTTTGCCCGAAAACTCTGAGGCCCAGAACCCCTGAATCCTAAAAAACTCCATGCCCGGTCCTCCTGCCCCGACACCCTTCAACCCTTACTTAACCTCCGTTGGCCTCGACCCGTAAGTTGTAAAGAGCTCCTCACCGGCTCTATGGGCCTCGGAAAGATCATGATTCTAATGCTCTAGGGCTAGGTAAAATGACAGCAACACAGATGGCAGTGAAGGCATGGCCAGAACACCATAGTCCGAATAGTGATTCTGCGGCCGGCTACAGCGACATGCCCTGCGAGGCCACTGAACACGGAAAGTACAACCAACAGATGCAGACACCGCAACGAGAATGGTCCAGGTCATTATGCTTCCGTTCTTGCTTGCAGGGCTGGCGCCTAAGACTCAAGAGTAAAGCAGTAAAGCTTTCGGTTGCATTCCACAGACCTTCCTGCAGCCCGCCCGAGAGTGTTGCACTACCGGCGCACATCATGGGATACCGCGAGGACAGCAGCGAGTGGACCTCCCTCTAAAACGACCAAGCGCCGGGAGCCCCGAACCCCCTAGTCGTGGGCTCCTTAGTCCAAGGATGCATAGTATAGCCTCCATCCCCTTGGCAATGCAGCCAAGCCGCTCTGACAGCTGTGATGACCATGCATTGGGCCTCAGGTTTAGGGTGTAGAAAAGAAGGGCGGCAGGTCGCACCCGCAACTGGCAAGCCCCAACAACAGTGACAACGGGGATAGGCTTCAACAAGACGAGACTCCAACAACACCAACACCGGTGAAAAGAAGAGTTGAAAAGCCTTGGCGGGGCAGGGAACTCCAACAACACCAACCGCAGTGACAAGGACAATGACAAAGATTCCGGAATCACTTGAACATGACTTTTCGGTTTCTGTCATGAGAGGTTTGCTGTTTCGGGCATCGCCGACCCGGAGCTTTCTGATTCAAAAGCCTGGGGGGGCCGCCGGGTTTGGGATGGAGGGTGAGGGAAAGACGGGCAGGGAAGATTGCAGAGCCGGCATTCTTCCTACGCCCCATCGGTCTAGGAATGGTCTCGCTGTCTTGACACCCCTCTGCTTCGTGGGATCTCAGCACTCATCGATCCTGGCGCCTAAAGGCAATGCCGTAAGATGCCAAGAGCTGGAGCCCGCTGCAATTCAACAGGGGAGGTCAGGACAGCCTGCCTTCAGACATCTGGCTAAACGACGGAAGACAACATCGGATGTGATGACACTGGCGTCCCGAGGCTTCTTAGGCCACTGCCTGTGGCACTCATAAACTCGTGAAAGGCAAATGGCCCAGAATCCGAAGGGGGCCTACCTGTACCAGCAGATTCCTCAGGGGTCTTACCGAAAGCCTAAACCTCTTAAGAAGCGAACCCTAAACACCCTAACCCCCATACATAAAGCTATATAAACAGTTCAAACGGAGAAGACAACCGGGCGCCGAGCCTCTCCGTCCCATGCCCACAGCACGCCGGGCGTTAAAGTGGGAGAGTGATTCAACCTCGTCGGGTCTGGTTGAAGGGGCCTTGGATGTTTTCTTGTTCAAGGCTTTAGTGTCGTTTGTGGCGATGCTGCAAGTTCACATGAGCTCCGCCATCGCTTTGGTGAGAGGGGCTCTACAGCTTTACAGGCTTCAAGGCCTCGAACTTGGAGGAGCTGACATGAACGATTCTTGCAAGCAAAGGCCAAGCTTTGGAGTGTTTGTGTAGAGCGTGCCTACAAGCGCAAACGGTACGAGTAGGTTGAGCCTCACCGGACCCGATTGCTGCTGGCAAAGGCGTGAGATCCAAGTGGTTCGAGAATGGCTTGGTGGTGTCCACGACCATGTACACGCCGTCCTCTCGTGCTGAACTCTGGAAATCTCTCGAAATCTTTGATGCTAGAGCATTGGGAGTATCGGGGGGTCATTGCAAGACTGCCAGTCTTGACCTGGGCCCCGGGCAAGTCTGCCACGGGCACGAGGGTTGTGTCGACGCCTGAAAGCCATCGACTCCTTTACCAGGACTAGAAAGGCCCAGTGTGTCAGAAGCTGACCGCTGCTGCGAGTCCAAGCCCCAGGCAAGTTTGGAAAACCCGCGTCTGCCTTGGATACGGTGATGGACTTTCAGGGACCCCTGAAGGCTAAAGGAACAGGGCCTTGCCACCTCCCCCCCACGGCGAACGGTCGCTCTCTAAAACACAACACAGCTCGTTATTCAGGCTGGAGCGAACACAGACGGGCGCGAAGGAACATTTCTGCCTCGACACAAACCGATGAACTCAGACATCTTGCAGAAACCCGTTCTGAAGTTGCCAGCCCTGCACAAGCTGCTGGGTCATGAAGGGACATGCCTCTTCTGGAATTACAGGCTCCCTGACACTCCCCACGATTCCAGGATAGTTCTGCCACCGATGGGAACCGATCCGCACCTCGACTGAATCGGGCACACCAGCTTCTTCGCCGCACCTTCTTTGTCGCAATACAGGGAGAATAGCATCATGTACAAACATGCAACGCGACACAGTACATTGGGATGAGATGATGAGATTCCAAAGTCACACCACAGAGCATTCCATCCAATCCTTCCACCCTTCAGTCTAGCCCCCGCAGGCCCCAGCGCACGTGTTTGAAATGGACAAATTGCGATGTGTGCCTTGGTCTTCTCTCCTTCCCCAGCCACATCCTCACACCCCTATATATGATACCGGTGCGGCCGATGGGGGGGAGGCCGGGGCCGCGGAGCGCCTGACAATATAACTCCCCTTTCTCCCCTAGACCCCCTTGAAGATCCTGGTTTCTGTCCAACGCAGCATCGGAGATCGCGAACGCCTCACAGCTGCATCAATCCAAGCCAGCAGGACCGCACCATGCTCTCGTGCAACATCATGAGGTCGGTGGCCTCTAGGCAAGTCCACTGGTTCGAGTATGAACGTTCTTGAGGGGCTGCGCTCGTTGTAAAGGCGCCCACCGCGATTGCGCATCATGAAGCTAACTGTCTAACCCCTAGACCCTAGACTGCAGACATGCCCTCATAGTGTCTGTTCTTTCTTTGGTTGCCCAGTGACCCCGGCTTCCAGAAACACAACTACCACCAAGTCCGAGGCCATCTCGATGAAATATTCTGCCTCCTGCGACGGCCGCATGGCCTCTCGCCTGAGTCCAGAGCAGATTCCTAGTTCCAGACGTGGAACTGCAAGCAAAGTACTTCCTTCCTGAGTGCGACACGTCCCACCAGGATTGAAGGCTGCAAGTCTGAATGGGTGATACGCGAAATCCTGGCACGATCGCAAATGCGCTCGAAGCTGACCATGCTCGCAGTTCACAACATCACAGCCGTCACGTCACCACGTTCGTGCAACCCAGTCCTCGCCCAGAAGCGTGTCTGCATAAGCCTCCCAAACCTGCCGCGACTTCTGGTACAGGCCGGGGTTTCACCACCGCTCGAACAACATGCTGGCCTTCTGCTGTGCCTCACTTGTGGTCCAGTGACTTCTCAGAATACTCTTTCCCTGGCGGCGATCTCGTAAGCTCTAACTCTATGTCGAACTGCCAAAGAAAATCCACTTCGTTCAAGAATCTGTTGAATGTCTCTGGGGACAGCAACCGCACCTTCACCACCGCACCCATTCTTTCTGCCTGCTGGGCTTTTTCATTCCAAAGCCCAGCTCTTCAGAGAGCTCGGCAACTATTCTCCATGAGATTTCATGCGTCACCGCTCTCAGCTGTCGGACCCCGTGTCATCTTTGCCCGCATCATGACCGCCATGGTCATTGTAAGCATCGCCCCCACGGGCATCAGTGGCAACACCGGCGCCAGCACCACCGCAAAGGCCACCACCACCACCACCACCTCATCATCATCATCATCATCAGTATCATCACCCGCAGAACCATCAACTTCACATGGCCTAGCCATCAACATCATGACAACCTGATACCTCCTGCCACATGCTACTCCTGAACCTCATGTTAACCAACATCACCACCATCATAACTGTCAGAAGCTTCCTCAACCACATGCTGGCCAGCTTAAACACGATCACTCCGAGAGTCGCCCTTGCTGTGTGAACTTTGGTAAAGGTTGACTGTTTGGTTGGCACATCTTCACGGTGTGAGTTGCTGCATGTTGCTGCACTGCTACATGGCCATCGAGAAGCGAAGAATACTCGAAGAATCAAACAAAAAACGGACTGAACACATCTGTCCACATTGGTGCAAACATCGCTTCGCCCGATCCTCCGCTGCCTTGTCCAAGGCTCTTTCCTGCCAGGTCGAAGTCAGCCCCTCGAGCATCCTAACCTTCAGGACTCCCATCCTGGGAGTCGGCCAAAAGCCGGGCAAGGAAGAAGGAGTGCAGCGCTTCAGAGCCTCAGAGGCTCAAAGCAGGTTTGGGCCGCATGAGAGGAGCCGGCCCAGCTTGTGAGGCGCCAACGTCGATGATCCGGCATGGCTGACCTCAAAGAAAGGCGAGACTTGATACAAATAGTCTTTGACATGATGGCAATTCCGCACGCACATATAACATCCGCTTGAGAGCACCGCTGTTTCGCAACCTCAGCCGAGCGATGCAACGAAGCTAATAATAATATTGAAAAGGCTCTGAAAAAGGTCTGAACGACGAGGAACACAAACCCAAACAATGGAGGTTCTGGGCCCCGACAGCTGCAAGCGCCGGAGCAACGGCTTCAACTGCAGGAGGCCTGCCATACAAGGATATCGCTGGAAAGACAGACGTACGGTGTTGAAGAAGACGGTTTGAATCAGGAGATACACCGAGGCTCGAACGTAATATGCAGATGTGCTGGAATGCGCAAAAGCTCCTGTTGCTTAAACAAGCAGGCGATTGGCACAGCCGGGGACCTTTCCCTTATCGTCGAAGCTAGAATTCTGCATCCCGGAACGCAACTACAACAAATACCAACCCGGCTCCTCACCCTCCTGGATGTCTTCCACCGCAAGCAAGCCAGGGATGTACAGTGGCGGTGCCTCAACGTCGGGCAACCATACAGCACAGGCTGCTACGCACAACATCCAAGGAGGCTGACACATCCTCGCTTGATTTTGGGACTGACCTCATCGTTGCATCATGCCGCATCGGAAAAATCAAACATTACATCAAAGCAATCTTCGGCTGTGCTGTGATGTTCCAAGCCCACTGCGAAACAACCGGCTTCTTTGGCCACTTTGAAAAGATGTTCCACCGCAGCCTGCCATGATCTTCTGATTTACTAGGCTCACTAGACTCACTTCTAGCATCACGTACTTGGACTGACTGAGAACCGAGGAATATCGAGAACATGTATCAAGGTCCCACCCACGACGGAATCATGGAATCAGTTCCTGACACTGCGCGGGGCCTCCAAATCCAACGGGGCATCCCCTCGTGACACACAAAACACTGAAAACCTCGTGTTCCTCCAATTCGTAAGGTCCGCACGGGAAACTTTCCCCAAATCCGCCATGACTGCCAGATTTTTCCCTGCATCCTGCGCGGCATCCGCTTCCACAACGACAACAACTGGAAAACCGTGGCAACGTCGTCTGCATCAGCAAGGCTGGAACACATGCGGCTAAGCTACCCCACCCTAAACGGCGATCAGCGAGGTGCAACCGTGCACAACCCACCCTAAACTGCGATCAGTGACGTGCAAGCGTGCACTGCTCGCGGGGCCTCGCGCACAGCTCGGTCCGACAGTGAGACAGCAAGGGGGCGGCCGCGAAGGAAAACCGCCGCTGCGTGCCAGCCGCTGTGGCCCACCCAGATTCGGAGGCAAAGTGGACGCTTTTGGCGGCTTCGGCGTGGCATGCATTCGCACCGATCTCGCAAAGCGAAGGTCCTCGATTGGCAAGGGCATGCATGGTCTAGCGCACACTCTGCTCCGGCGACAAGCGCCGCCTACAGCGACAGTTTCCCCGGGTGCCACAAGCGAGCTGCCACCCGGGCAACAGTTTGTGGTGCTCGGAACAAGGCCGGAGGACGCTGGTGCCGCCGAGTACGCTGGATGCGACTGCTGGGTACACGCGGCCCCCTTTCGAGCTGCGAGCTAATCAGCTAATTTTTTCTTCTTTACCAGCCTGCGGAAGGATCGTGCAGCTCAGCCCGTCTCCCGAGTCGGCGGCAGCGGGGCCAACTCGAGCAAGGAGGCAGCGAGAACCGTCGCGCAACCCAAGCGGTGATCGCAGGTGGCATCTCGCGGTCACATTGCGCGGTCTCACGTCGCAAAACACAGGCCAAGCTCGCCAAACCGCTGGGCCAGCTGGGCGTCACACAAAGTTGTTCTTGGAAGGGCAGTGTGGCCAGGCAGCAGGCAATGGAGGTGTCGTGGGCAGCGGTTCAGTCAGCCGCGAAGTGCGGCGGTTGCGGCACCAAGATGCGCAGCGGGTATTTTGCGCGCGGGGCCGCACAGCTCTGAAGGAGCAGCCATGCAGCTTTCGGATCGTCGTGCAACAGGATGCAATACAAAAGCCGGTGTTGGTCGGCGCAAAAACGGGCACCCGAGAGCACTGCTACGTGTATCCCTATAGTAGGGTCACTCAAACACACGGTGCGGAGCCGAATGCCGATCGTGTTGACGGCCTTCAAACAACCCAGAATTTGCAACCGCCGACATCTAGCGGTTTGGTGTTGTACTGGACGGCAGGCTCAGCCGCGAGACGCTTCGAAGCGGCGAGCCTCCCCACCGGTAGAGCAATGTTCATGTGGCACAACTAAAAGTTGTTCCTCACCCACACTTCCCCGCAGACTCTCCCGGCTGCCTGCTCCAAGGCGCACCATGGCTGCCCAGCACACCCACTCTGGCGCATGCCGTGCGATGGTCACCCCACACGGCAACGCCGGATCAGCAGTGTAGCGGCGCATGTAGAATTGGCGCCCGGAATCGGCGAAACAACAAAACGCGCACAAACTCACAAAAGATACGTCCTCCCGCGGTCCCAGCATTTCGACCTTTACCGCCTGCTGTTCGGCCCTGCTCTCCTTTGCGGCTGACCGTGCCTTTGCTGCAAGTCTCCTCTCCTTGCCCCGTAGCGGTACAGCCAATGTCGATCCCCCGCTGCTGAGCGACATCCTCTCAGAATCTTCCCCTGAGCCGCCCCTTGCAAACCGCATGCCCTGGACAATGTTGCTTGCAATCGGCCTGGCCTATAAGGTCTGCACTGGGACTGCCTAGCTTGGATGCCGGTACAAAAGTGCGAGGGGAAAGACAAAAGATGCGCCATCCCCGCATGTCACTAGCGTGCGCGGCACCAGCCAAAGTTTGGAACTGTGCAGTGCAGCGCCAGAGCCAGAGGAGGCCTTGATGATCCATGGCCATGCGTTGCGACCTGTCTAACTTGCGGTGCCAGCGGTGCCAAAAGAAAGCATGCTGGCTTGAATAATACTACAGTCACGTGTTGACAGGCTCCACATGGGATCGGTGTGACGGTGCAATGCTGCGCATGCTGTGGCGCAGGATCTCCGATCATGCAATGCAACAAATCTGAAAATCAGTGAGCTCGTGCGAGGCGACTCCCACAGCTTGCAGAAAGAGCCGCCGGGGACCCGCCCAAGGACCGAATCCAAGCAATAAATATTGCATAAAGCAGGCCCGGTGCTGCAAATCACAAGCAGTGCGTCAACAAGCATGGCTTTGCTGGGCTCAGACCGATGCTGTGCAGACTCTGAGGACGTTGCTGGAGCGATGCTGGACGCTGCATCGGCGATGAGGCGCTTCTTGTTGCCCTCTCGGAGAGAGAGGCTTGTCCTTGAACGACCATCTGTTGTGGTCAGAACGTGAAACATGGTAATCACACGTCATATGCATCAAGCACTCAGTCCAACAACGACAACCAGACGACAACCAAGCAAGGAACAACGAAAATGAAATTGCGAACATGCACATGACTGACAGGATTGTCAACTACGGCGCTACGGCTCAGATCACATCTCACACGCGGCAGCTGCTTGACACACAGCGCCAACAAACGCAACGTTGTGCAGAATGTCTCCAGCTGTGTTCACGGCTGGATCTGTGCAAAACAAAGTGTGCAATGACATGTCGTTTCGTCCACGAGTTTGTTGGCACCAGCGCCTGCGAGCTACATTATGCACTGGGCACTCTGACAATGCATGTGCGAGAGTGTCTGCGCCTGATGCGCAAAAGCGACATGGAGCATCAGAGTTACAACCACGATGTCGGGCAGCCCGCCCGTCAGCAAAGTCATGATGACCACACCGGGCGAGACCCCAGAATCGCACATGATGGGCATGGCTGCTACGACCGTACGCAATGGGATGTAAGCGTGGCACTGGCTGCCATCGCGAGTACAGCCGCAAGCTGTCAACATGATCCAAATTTGAAGCATACCTTGCGTGGGACCTGTTGACTAAAATCAGCCGGGCGTGTTGCAACCACTTCTTTACAACATCTCCCGCGCAACCGGGGTGGATACCCCATTCAACCGGATGCGGCACACCAGCGCTTGTCACATCACGTGACACGGACGAAACCCAGGATGAAGGGTGCTGGTCGACAGACCGTGCGAGCTGTCCTGCGAAGCAACCTGGTGGTAAGCTTAACAGACGGGCCCATAAACCAGCTGCTTGAATGAGACGCATCGTTTCGGCATCATGCCACCCAAGCTGGCCTTGAACAGCGAGGTTGGGTGAACCACGCGGCCAGCACAGAAGACGCCGACCCCACTGAAGGACGCGAGTTTGAAAACGTGCAATCTGTGGGCCTGCGGAAACAAATGCTAGTCCAAAGGAGACAGAAGGATGCACATATGTCTGATAAATGCGTTCTACAAATGAAAGTGGCAGGTCTGCAGACTTGGTCCAAAACAGGCATGCCGCCATCTTTCGCTCACCACGAGCAAGCAAATGGTCAATGTGCCCTTTCCAAGACAAATTTTCACGCAAGCAAACCCCTAAATAAGTGTAAGTCTTAACATGCGGCAAACCCTGACCACCCAAAAAGAAGGCAGGTGCACGAGTGCGGCCACGACCACGGCCTAGAATCATGACTGCAGATTTCTTGGGGCCGATTCCAAAATGAAAGCGCCAAGACAACGCCCAAGCATGAGCTGCATCAAGCGCGCGCTGCAAGTCGGCAGGGCTATCACTCAAAATGACGATGTCATCCGCATACAGAAGGAGTTTGACTTTTACATTTTCCCCGGACAAACCACAAGAAACCCCGTTGCATGCTCGCTTGATTGCAGCGGCGAGTCCATTTATCAAAATATTAAACAGAAAGCCACTCAGGACTGCTCCCTGACCAATACCATCCTCGACATCCCACGTGTCCGAAAACTGCGAATCAAGACGTACAGCTGCCGAGCGATCTGAGATTAAGTCGTCGATCAAATGCCAGAGATCATTAGAGACACCAGCCCGGTGCAAACGCAACATGGCACCATCACGCCATGCAACGTCAAACGCCTTACGTATGTCAAGAAATGCACA